TATGGTTGTTGCAGAATGACAATGGAGAGCAACAGAGTTCCAAAAGGAACTGTCAGCTGGTCATCCAGCAGGTATTTTGTTTTCATTTACAAAGTAATAACCAAAAATAATTTTTGTCAGCCCAACATAATGGTTCATGTTAACATCTGGTTAACATGAATGTGGTAACATAACATCTGACAACAACCAGAAATAATATTTCAAGAGTTCTTAAGCGCTTCATTTCAAAGTTTTACATTTATTATTTAGAGTAACTCCTTTGAACAATTTTTAGGTATTGTAAAATATCTTTTAAAGGTAAGTTGAGTTTACCCATGATCAAAAGAGGTAAAATATCATTAAAATGAGTAGGCTTGCATAAATATATAGAAGTAATCTTCGTAGATGCTTTTACTATGTAACCTAGATCCTAAAATCTAAGGAAGAGATTTAGAGAAAATATAAAAGTACAAGGGAGATAAATGAGTAATGAATTGTCAACTTTTATTTGATTATTTTCATTTACAGTTCTGGCACTGACACTTTTTTTAAAAAAAGATTTTAATTTTATGTAAAGATTGAACTTCAATAAAATAACTTAAAAAACATTTACATTATACATCACTAAATCTCCATAAAATATACAATACTTTTGATACAGCTGTAGGCTACAATGACGTTGAAGGAAATGATACATATTCATAATTTTTAAGAGATATCCCATATGTCACATTTAGGAATAAATATTTATATTGAATTTGCCAAGATATGTGAAGTATTAAACACTATATAACATGCACTCAGAAATTAAAATATATATTTTTAAAACATTTTAAAAGCATAAAACTGTGTTTGATTTAACCTAGATATACATTAGCGCTTCTAAATAGAAATTTGAATATTTATTACAAATAAAAGATACTATAACATCAAGTGAGATATAGTCCAAAAGCTGGGAGGAACCAGTTTGGACATGTAGAATATAAATTTCTACTTCGGCTAGAGTGAAGTCTCATCTTTTTTAACCTTCAAATAAGATGGAATGATGTTAAATATGCTAAAATTTTAAAACTTTACAAAATATTTGTTTTTAATTTTAAGTACTTGTAAGCTGTATTTCTTTTTCTCATTTATATTGATATGACAAACATATGAACTTAACTGTCTAAAATAAAAATCTGAATATTACTGTGAAATGAAGGTAGGTATTTAACATTCCATAGACCAAATCACGCAAGTGCAACAGACTGTGTTTTATACATACAAAGTAAAATTTTACAGAGATTACAGTGTTTTACACTCACAAGCAAATTATGAGGATAAAATTCTTTCATGTACTTCTGAACATTGTTAACACTCTTACAAACTGGCTGCTTGGCATTTTAAAATGATTGCTATTTCTAGAAAATAGCAGCAATATCGCTCACCCAGAAGAACTGAATGTACTGAATTGATACACTGCTACAACCTGAATCACTTCATCAAATTAGCTTAACATTACTGCATTTGAGGCTAAGAAAATTGATAGAAAATGACAGAAAACAGGACATTAAAATTAATCCAGAGAACAATTCTGAGTCTTTTTATAGGCAGCAGCTACACATGAGCTGTAAATTTTATCCACAATTGAATACATTTTGCTATAATGCACATATTATGAATCCTCTGCTCCTAGCCTGGTATGTCATTCTTTATTCGTAGTTAGTGAAAAGGTCTGAATTTGGTAATTGAAAACTTGTCCCAACAACTGTATAAATGTCAGTTATTAGGTGCTCACTATTATTCAAGATTTTATAACTAGGAGAATGATTAAAAAAAAAATCTGATTATAACAAAATATCTCATTAATTTTATTGTTCTTAATTACTCTGCTGATGAAATAAAATCAAAACAATCCTCCCATTCCCCTCACTGTATTATGTATTTAGTGACACTAATATAGTTTATAAATTGTATTTAATGACACTAATATATTTTGTATTGTATTGTATTTAATGACACTAATATAGTTTATAAATTGTGAGACTTTCTTAGATAACATATGGATAGTATTTTCTAGAATATTCTCCCCTCAGGATCTATGGATTATTAGAATACATTTCAGTTTTCCTTTCCGATATAAAAGCAAAAGGTTAAGTTGTCAACTTATATTTTTCCTGTTCATTCTGCATCTGGATAACTGATTTTGAAATTATAGTAAACAATTTCTAAATTCTTTGTTTTAATGGATTTCCCATTTTGGAGTGAATAACTTAAAAAATAATATTTAGATTCTTATATACTAAAATCTGGTTCAGAGGTAAAATAAAATTATGGTAAAGCACTTCATAGCATTACTCTCATAGCATTTTCCATCAGGGAACTAACTACTCTGTATGACTGGGAACAAAACTTCAAATGGAAATATTATATTTTAAATCTAGTTTTAATTTAGATCTTTTACATATACATTAAAAACCTTGTTTTGGGTAATTATTGACTAAGGTGCAACTATCAAAATTATTAGGAATGTTTATATTGAAGAAAAATATTAATACCAAATCTTTAAAACCTGACGTCACATTCAGCTCTGTGTGTTCAGATGCAGATGAAATGTTATATTCTCTTAAGTCTAGTGCAGATCTCATCAGCCATCCAGGCCAAGCCTCAATAGGGGTTATGACCTTCTTCACTGTAGTTTCCTACAACATAAAATACTTCTGTTGAATCTGCAGCATGTTTAGAAGGAAACCTATAATTTCAGTTAAAAGCATGATGTTTAATGTGTTTTAATATGGTAGGTCAAATCATAACACACGTAAATCGTCCTACAAAATATATATTTGATGATATTTCAAATGGAATGTTTTCAAGTTGATAGTAGTAGCCAAAGATGCTGAGAACTTAAAAGGTGCATAATATAAAATAACCTGCAAAATTCAAACATTCAATTTTTAATATACTATAAATGTTCACTGAATCTAAAAATAATACCCTAATTGTATAAGGTTCCTTTTCAAGTAGTTATTTGTTTTTAAAAAATTATAAATAATTCTTGTAACTATGCCTCTCTGTCTTTGCTTCAAATATATGGAATATTATCTTTATCACTATATAAATAACAAATAGTCCTTTAAAGAAGAGGTTGAGGAGAATAGGGGAGGAGAACTGGCTAATTTTCCCTGTTATTATGTGCATTTATGGATATAAAGTTGAAAACACCATTTGCTGTGTCAGGGAGAACAGGCCATGTTCTGCGTTAGGAAATAATAAGAGCCCAGTTGCTCCTTTAATAAAGTTACTCTGCATTCAGCCCAGCTGAGTATGTAAGCATATAGTTAAGGCTATATATACAATAAAGAGAAGAGGCAATTATTTGGATAAATCAGAAAAATAAATTTTTAAAGAGAGCACTTTATTGGTCTAAATACTTCTTCTCCCCATCATATTCTGATTTTACCACACAACATCTTACTTTCTACTTCACTTTATCTGTGAGAAATATTACTTAGATGAGAAATTTCTTATGGGATAAGAAATATTAGTAGAATGATAATTTTCTCTATTAAATCACATCTGCTTTTGGGGAAAAATTAATAGGCCCTTAGAAATAAATTGTCAAAGCACCTAATTGAAGAAGAAAATTCTGTAAAATAATTTTTTTTATTATGTGAAATCATCCAAGGGAGAAAACGTTTTTGGCTGAAGGATTTTTAGGCCAGTGAAGTGACCATTTAAGCACATATCATACCCGTGGTTGCTTAGAGAATGAACCTCCTTGGCTGCATTCTCAGCTTTGATAATTGTGATAGAAACAAACTAGACTTTAAGAGAAGAACAAAACATCTTGGAGACTGGCAGAAATACATTGAATTTAGAGACAGCCACCTCTTCACTCCAAAAAGTACCTTATTTGATGTTTAGAGCCATGTTAACGTGCATCAAACTTATGCAAACTGGCCACAGAAGAGTCATTCATATTTTCACTGGAACTAGCAAGTAATTTTATGAGTAAGTAATTTTGTACATACTATGTAGTTCTTAATATGAGCAGAAATTAGAGTTCATTGATGAATGAGCATAAAAACCAGTGAACACTTTGAAAAGACATTGTAGATATGTCAACATTTCGTAAAGTTGTGTGCTGTATGAGAACCATTAATCTGTTCCAATAGAAAATCCCAATTTTTAGACAAGAAGGGAAAAAAATCGAAGCCAACCATGAGAAAAGGGCAACACTCGCAGACAAATCTATGTATCTTTTTTTTTTTGGTAAATTGTCAGGGAAAAATAGAAAGGGTGTGCAAAATAAAAATGATTTTATGCTCTTAGAGTAAAAAAAGACATACTATTAGGTAATAAAATATGACAATTCCATTAGGAAGAATTAATAAAAAGTTAAGAAAAAAATAAGTCCCACTATTTAATTAAATGAAACATCAATAACAGAAGGATTATTTCTGTCACTGATTTTCTTCCTTTCTTTTTTGTTTCAAAAATTATTTGATTAGGGCCAGCCCCATGGCTTAGCGGTTAAGTGCGCGCACTGCGCTACTGGTGGCCCGGGGTTCAGATCCCGGGCGTGCACCGACGCACCGCTTCTCCGGCCATGCTGAGGCCGCGTTCCACATACAGCAACTAGAAGGATGTGCAACTATGACAAACAGCCATCTACTGGGGCTTTGGGGAAGAAAAAAAAAAAAAAAAGAGGAGGATTAGCATGGATGTTAGCTCAGGGCTGATCTTCCTCACAAAAAAAAAATTATTTGATTAAAAGAAGGGGAAAGATAGTCTGCTAGCAGCTATTTACATAACACAAATGAAGGCACAAATAGTAGGACTCCAGAGTTGATGATCGAAGGCGTAGTGAATATCAGGTGATTCAGGCATGAACAAAAATGACCCTGAAATACAGCTGAAGATCTAGCTCTGTTTTGTGTTTACAGTTGCATACCTAAGTGACTAACTCAATCAGGGATCCATAAAAATCTTTTCTTTCTTTCTAGTAATAAAATATACTTATCAAAACTTGCTAGCTTATCTGTGCAAATGTATACTTATCACTGCTGCAAAAAATATGTATGAAAATAAACCCTAAAAGACCTGCTTTTCATAATGTTCAAAATATCCTGTGCATAGTCAGTTTCTGAAGAACTCTCAAGATCTGAATTGGAGAGAGAAACCAAAATGTGGAATCCAAAGGAGATAAGGACAGCTGTGCCCTTGTAGGAGGCACTTTTGAATTTGTTGATGAAAGCTTAAATGGAATTTACTTCCTAATAGCTGATCACAGATAAGCTACTTCTCCTTAGGAAAATTTAGGGCCAATAGGCCATGTTTGGACAGAAAACACGCTTGGGCCATATCCCAGAATCCTTCTTTATGAGTATATCATACATATATGATTTGGCTAGATTAGCAGTGACTCAACTGCCACTAATAATTATATATGGTCTTAGGAAAAAAGGATACCACTGAAGTCACTGGATACATTTTAGATTATCTCAGGAAGGAATTACACATATTCAATAATTATTAGTTTAAAATCTGTCAATATTTTTTTACATTGCTGCTTGTGGAAAAAAAATGTCATCATGGTTGTATCTTCCTTCTAATCAAATATTCTAGAATATGAAGTCATTCACAACTAGACTGTGCAAAGAACCAGATTAGAAGCAGGGCAGTGAGGTCATCAATTGCTGCTCTTCTCCCCCAAGTTTGTTTAAATGACTAAATATATCAGCAGCTGAAAATTATTCCACATCAGAAGCATCGTTGTCAGAAAGATGATAGTTACTTCCCTTTACCCGAATATATTCAATATATCTCCCTTCATCAGAATCTGAAGTGCCACATGTACATAGCCTGTTGTCAAAGAGTGATTCAATTTCCTCTAATTTTTTCCCTTTGGTTTCAGGAAGACAGCCATAGATGAAAAGGAGTCCCATAGCAGCAAATCCAGCATAGAGGAAGAAGGCTCCTGCAATGGAAAATAATATATATGTATAAGTATGTGTATGTATATGTGTGTATAGATATATACAGTATACATATATATACTTGGTCTGTATACATAGAGAGAGAGGCCTAGGTTGGAAACAATACTTGATTTTGACCTTTCTTTCTGGTCAATCATGCATAATTATGATATGAAATAGAACCAAAAAATTACTGCCAGCCTGGTTTACTCTAATTGTTCTAATCCTGTGAATATAATGTAATTTATCTTTCTAAACTTGTCATGTAATGCCAAACTCAAGAATGATAGACCAAGCTCAGATGTAACTTCTGCTTTGAAGTCTTTCCTTATGTCTCCTATGTGCTTTCACAGCGCTTTGCTGAGGCCTCCTATCATAATAACAAGAAGTATTATAATTATGTGCATGTATTTGTCTGTCTTGTTTACTAGACTGGAGGCACCTGGAGGGAGAAATTTCTTTCTCATTTATCTAGTATTTCCAGAACCACATACAATGATGACATTGCTGAATCTGTGACTCATTGGAGTACACGGCAACTCTATCCTTCTAGTTTCTCGTGCCCAAAGTCTGATAGTCAACTTTGACTTTTCTCTTACTCTCCCACCCAATATCCAATCTGTCAGTCTAGTTGGATCTACCTTCAAATATAATCTGAAGATGACCACTTCTTACCATTCCACTGATATCTCTGGTCTAATAGCCATCCTCTCTCATCTGCACTATTGCCATAGTCTCCTAACTAGTCTCCTTGTTCCTTCTCTTGTATCCCTATAGTCCATTTTTTTTTTTTTTGTCTATACCACTTATCACCATCTGACATACTATAAAGCTTACTGATTTGTTTTGTTTCCCTCCATTAGAATGGAAGCTCCATGAAGTCAGAGAATTTTGTTTTGCTGTAAGACTATGCATGTCAATGCAGCACAACCACAAAGACATAAATACTACCTGGCTGTGTTTTCTAAGTGTCAATACAGCAAGCCTAGAAGGATGAGATAGATATATGAGAATGTGACTTGTGTGTATTCTTACATATTTCCAAAATGGCCTTTCCTTTATAATCTAATTCCCAATTTAAACATAAGAACCTATGCTTTCACTTTTAATGATGGGAAACAACTAACTGTAATGGAGTCCCTGCCTAATTTTAGGCCTTCAGTCCAGACCATCCTATATATGAGATGGGGGAAGGAGGATGACAAACTAATGTGACAAAAGGCTGGAGAAAGGATATCAGATTGGGAGTTGGAAGATCTGGGTTTAAGTCTTGCTATGTGACTTCTAGATAGTCATTTAACCTCTTCTCTGGGCCTCAGTTTCCTCATTAAGTAAAATAAGATGGTTTCTCGGCTCCAATTTAAGTTTATGATTTAAGTTTATAATTCTATAAATTTTACAACCCAAATCAGGAGCAGGTATTGGAGAAATGGCTATGAGATGCTTGAGAGGGAGATCTGCTCTTCTCTTTCAGTAGAAGTCGTCTCAAGGGCAGAGTCAATGGCTTGTTTGTCTTTGGTTTCCCTAGTACAGAGCCTGAACCATTGGAGGAGGGTCTAGAGAATGAATGTGCTCTTGTTGACTGCCAGATGTAATACGTTGGGTAACAGATCTGAAAAGGGCTAAACTAGACAACATAAAGACATTTGAAAGTCAAGCTTTAAGCTGACATAAGGATAGCAATTAAAGAACTGAATAACATTTCTCAGTTCTGCTGAATCATTACAGGATAGGAAAGACATTATTAAGACTACTTTCTTAAAGACATACCTCCAAGTAACCATTTCAGGAATATACACAGAAACATTTCTTGGGAAGGCTCAAGGAAAACTACAGAGGAAAAATGCTACTGAATTGGCCACCCAAAAGAATTTGCTCAGTGGAATGAGGAACCATGAGAAAATAGAAGGGAAACAGAGGTAAATTATGGGATATTAGAAAAAAATATGAAAGGGTTGACTAAATCAAGACATAGTTTGTTAGATTAAGTCATGAGAAGCCATACAACTCTTGAGCTAGACTTGTATAAGTCAAATTATCTTTAATAAAAATACAACTCTATTTACAAATATAGAGCTCCTTTATTTCATTTGTTTGGTTCACATTAAATACTTACCACAACATATATATTTTTTTGTCTTATACTTGGTAAATAATCAGAAAATAATACTAGGTCATCTGGGATGCATGGCTGAGTGTTACAGTGAAAGGAAGACTCTGAGAGTGTGGGTCTGAAAGTCACAAAGCAACCCAGGCTGAATCCTTGGGCTGTTTCTTAAATTCTGTTGACCTTAGTTTCCTGATCTATCTAATGGGGAAAATAATTCCTGCCTTGCCAAACTGTGAAGAATAGAAATAATGTATCTTACATGCCTATTAGAATTTTGGATATTAGTTGCTCAAAAAAGTGATAGCATTATTAAATTCTACTAAATGACTAGGGAAGAAGAGTTGCTATTAGAGATAGAATAGAACAAGATTAGTATGACTAATAAATTGGGAATGTTTTCATCCGAAAGGTGATACTGAGAAGCTAGTTCTTGGTGAATGTGGGAATTTTGAGAAAAACTGAAAGGAGATGAAGTCCTGTGTTCTGATTACAGATAAGCAAAATTGTGGAGGTAAGAACAGAAATGGAATCTTTAGCATAGAGGAACAAAGAAAGGATGGTAATTATGATGATGAGAATACAGAAAAAAAAAGTGCAGCTGGTAAAACATTTTAGACTAAACCAGGCTGCCAAACTCCAAAATCTGTAACAGAGCAAATCTAGTTTGGCTTTATAAACTATAATATTGAGGAAATATTCATTGCAATTCACAATTTAGGAAGAGTGACATGATTAGAAGAAACAAATCAAATCTGTTAGTGCTAAATTCCTACAGTTAAAAACAATTAGATGGATTAGGAAGATCCCTAAAGGCCATACAGCTTCTTGCTTGTGACCCAGATTCCCAAAGCCAAATAACATCTAGGAAATTCTATTAAAATACAAGATCCTTTTATAAAATCTGAGGAATCTAAAGCAGACAAATGCCAAAAGTGGGCTTCACTGGTGAGACCTGTGGTTAAGCCACCGAGGTGTGGGCAGGCCCGAGAGGCTGTGACCTGCTCCATGTAACGGGCAGGTCAATTATGTACTCACTCTCTTAATTAGTCCCCCTTGGAATGAAAATGAAAAAAATATCTGTAACGAGTCTGTCAGGATTATTAAACAGTGCAGATATTCCTCAGCTTTATTCTGAAGGAAATAAATCTTATTAGAGTCCTACATTAAGTTTCAGATTAAAACAAATATTCAATTGAATTATACAAAGTGAGGACTCAAAGACCATGTTTGATTGAATTTCAGTACCTCAACACAGGAACTTTGATATAATGCTCTCCAAGGGATCTATTTAGTCACACATGCTATACATAAAATGGCATACTGTTGACAGTTGAATGATAATTTTTAGTAATAAACATTACTGAATGGAGTCCAAGGCAGACCTGTCTAAGCAGGATAGTTTAGAAAGGAATCAAAATTTGAGGTCTTATGAAACAATAAAAAAGGAAATAAAAAGACATGGCTATTTCTAGAGAAATACATCATTATGGTGTATATTCATAAATTATGAATATAAACATATACCTTACATAAATCAATAACATGTAGATTAAAATGTAGATCAAAAAACAGGGAAAAAACTAACCTGAACTGAAATATTGTTCCAGTACTAGCAAGCAGTAGACCTAATGGACCGACCAGTGCTCTGATATGATAGAAAGCTTGGCTTAATGCAAAGCAAAAAACTTCTTCTAACTGGATATTTTTGAAAGAAGCCTGGCTATGCCCTATTTAGATTTTACTTCTGTTGCCTCATGTTTTTCTGGCAGTATAAATTCAAGAAAGAGGAGCTTTGCTATCAAAAGTTTTACCAAGTAGACTTTTATTATTTGGTGTATGACTTTCTATAAAAAATGCTTTCTCAGGATGTTAGTCTATATTTAGGTCTTCAAATATTTAAGCGTTCTCAAGAATCAGCCAATACGGGTAAATATTTATTGTGCTCATATTTATGGTGTCAGGAAGATAAATTTTATGAATTTATGTAAAAATTTTAATTGCCAAATGGGATAAAGCTGAATATACTAAATATATATCCAGTTTAAAATGCCAGTGCATTTCCTTTCCAAGAAAATAAATAAGTATTTCTAAATGTTCTAAATGGTGATTAGGAGAGAGAAGAGTTTTATAAGGATAACAAAAGCATTAGATAAATAGTATTAAATAAAAGTAAATACCAATTCAGCATGTTCAGAAGAGAGGAGGAATAAATTTTTATAATGTTTCCTATATTGATCACTCATCTACAAAATTCATCTGTGTATTTATTCATTTGATAAACGCTTTGAGTGCTTAACAAGTGAACTGGATACCCTGGAAGGCACTGGGAATATAACAGTGAACAAGGCGTAGTACTGGCCTGAGCTCAAGGGATTTATGGTCCAGTAGTGAGGGGAGAGGGGCTGACTGACAAATAAACCTGTTCCTGCAAAAAGGAATTATCAGTGCCGAGAGCATGGAGTGAGGTGAGGTGAGTGATGGGGGTGGGGATCAGAGAATGGTCTAAACAGTAGGCATTCCATATACACCATAGAGGCTTAGGGAATTAGAATGAAAATCTCATATTTCATCATTTAGAATCCAATCACAATCTATAAACTTTTACAGACAATGAAGAAATCATCTTGCTAAAAAGACAGACATTTCGTTTTAGTAAAAATGGACTTGACTTGAAGTAGCTTCCCAAAGTTTTTTCCTAACTCAGCCACTTCCCAATATTGTTTTCTTTGAGTTATGGTCTCCACACACTTTCACTTGAATACTTCTGTCACGTTTACAGTTTTGGCAGTGATGAGTGCTGGTCTCAGTGGACATTGAAATGCACATGCCTTGGCCTGAACCACATAGATGATACAGTGGAATGCATAACTCACAGCATGACATTTGGGGGAGCTACGTTCACCCCCTACTCTGATTCTGTTCTTGGACGTGATTCCATTACTGTCATGGGACATCTTCAAGCATTAGCCCTAGACTTCTTGCCTACCTCTTTCTACCATCTCTGTTGTTTATGTTTCTTCATTAAACTAAAAGCCCTGCTGTGAAGATTTCCAACTGGGGAGATAGATAGCTGGGAGATGTTTGGGTTGGGAGAGTGGGTGGGTGGGTGAATGCTATAAAGCACTGAAGGACAAGAAGCAATGCTGCTCAGAAAGGGAGAATTCCTCTTATCTTTTCCCAGGTACATTTCCAAGGACTTGGGGGGAACAAGAAAGTCACATAGAGATATTTATAACAACAAAAATAAAATATAACCATCTAGTCTTTAATCACAAATGACAGCACATCTGAGAATAGAGTAGGAAAAATAAAAATGAAACTACAGTTGGAAAAAATATTCTCTTACCATAGTATGTAAGATATTCTGCTGTGTGTAAAAATGTCAGTGAAACCAGAACATTGAAAATCCAATTTATTCCAGATGAACATGCATTTCCTGTACTTCTTGCCCAAAGGGGATATATTTCAGAATTCACAGTCCAAGGCATTGGTCCCATTCCTGAGAAATGCAAAATTAAAAATTTCAGTAAAGTAGTACGTAAGGAATTTAAAAAAGAGTATCTTGTCTCCTCTAAAAAGAGACAATAATAACACAACAATAAGAACAAAGCGTTTGGTTTACCAGGTGCGAAGAAAACAAGATATAAAATAAGGCCCAGAAGTGCAGTCCAGGAGTATGGAGTAGGGCAGAAATTGTAAGCCCAAAATACTTCTTCTGTTTTGAATTTGGTTTCATTTTCACACCTGAAAAATAATGCAATATAAATATTAACTTAGTGTTTAGGGTGTAGTTGCAGAAATTCAATGTGATCATCTAGGATGTATTTGGAAATTCCTTAATGTCATTAAGGAAAAGGGTCCAAGATGTTTTTCTTGAAAAAAAAGTTAAGATTTAAATATACAGTATTAGATATGCAAGCTCACACAAAACTTTTTAGAGCTGAAAATAATTCAAGAGCAACACAAAGAAATACATTGTGCATACAACTCAATAGCAAAAAAACAAACAATCTGATTAAAAAATGGGCAGAGGATCTGAATAGATATTCCCAAAGAAGACATACAGATGGCCAGCAGGTACATGAAAAGGCACTCAACATCATTAATCACCAGGGAAATGCAAATCAAATCTGCAATGAGATATCACCTCACACCTGTTAGAATGGCTATTATCAAAAAGACAAGATAATAAATGTTGGCAAGGATGTGGAGAAAAGGGAACCCTTGTGCACTGTTGTGGGGAATGTAAATTAGTTCAGCCTCTATGGAAAACAGAATGGAGGTTCCTCAAAAAATTAAAAATAGAACTACCATATGATCCAGCAATTCCACTTCTAAATATCTAGCCAAAGAAAACAAAAACACTAACTTGAAAAGATATCTACACTCCTATGTTCATTGCAGCATTATTTACAATAGCCAAGACATGGAAGCAACCTAACTGTCCATCAGTGGATGAATGAATAAAGAAAAATGTGGTGTATACACACACACACCCACACCCACATATATATATATAAAATGGAATATTATTGAGCCATAAAAAAGGAAATCTTGCCATTTGCAGCAACGTGGATGGACCTTGAGGGCATTATGCTACGTGAAATGTCAGGCAAAGACAAGTACTGTATGATCTCACTTATATGTGCAATCTTGTTTAAAACAACAACAAAACAAGCTTATAGATACAGAGCACAGATTGTTCCTTGCCAGGGGTGGGGGTGGGTGAAATGGGTCAAAAGGTACAAACTTCCAGTTATAAAAGAAATAAGTCCTGGGGATGTAACATACAGCATGGTGACTATAGTTTATAATACTGTATTGCATTTTTGAAAGTTGCTAAGAGTAAATCTTGAAAGTTTTCATCACAAAAAATTTGTAACTATATGGTGACAAATCAGACATGATTTCCAGTTAATTCTTGAAAGCTGCAGAAACACTGAGAGTCAGTATGTTGTGGTAGAAAGACTGGATTTTGCAGTCAGGACAAAATTCAAATTCCAGAACCAGATTTTTTTTTTCATCTGTAAAATGGGGATAATGCCTTACAAGTAATGTTAAGGATTAGAAGGGTCACCTGTAAAGGAGTGATAGAGTACATGAGAGCAGGGAACAATGCTTATATCTGATTCCAGCTAACCCTTTCCCTTCCTGCTGTGTGTCCTTGCTTACTTCTCTATCAGTCACTCCCTGATGACTCTGCCTCCCAGTTCTCTGGTGGAGCAAAGTCTCCTATGGTCTTAGATTGATTCTCAAGTTGAACTTCCAATTCTTTACCTTAATTGAAGTCTGAATTGCACCTGAAGATACAATGAGCCTCAAAAACATTCTTATCCCTTGTTATTTTTAGACTATTGTTCTGCGTCCATCAAACCTCTATTTTTAAACCTTGACATCCCAGCCCTATCCTTATTGCTGCGTTGATGACCTCCATCATAACACCCCACCTGTCTTGATGATATGGGTGCCTAGTCAGTCATCATCTCCATCCCCTCTCATCCTTTGCCACGTTCATTTATTTTTACTTCTAGACCGTCTAATACCTTGGCTTCATAGCTCTTATTTAACCTCTGACACTGCAGAGAGGGCACTTTATAATTTGCTTGATTTGGAACTATTTTACTTTAAGGTTTCAAACATAGAGCATTCCTTTTCTGATTATAAGCAGTTCATTTCCTCATTTCTGATAATTTGCTCCACACCCAAATCACAATGTTTAGATTCTAAACTTCTCTCAGTATTCATTCACCTCATTGCTCACCTTAGTCCATTCAATCCATCTTTATGGCCTCTAGAATCCATCTTTCTTTCCTCCATGCTTATCTGGCATTCTCACCATTTCAGTTCCTAACCCTGTGCAGCACCATTAACTTCCTTCAATAACCACTTTTCAGAAGCTGGGCAAAATTATGACACCATGCTGTTGGGTTCTATTAAAAGTTCATGCTATTTCTTCTCAGTTGGGTCCCTAATTATGCTTCTTTATTTTTATCCTTTATTGTCTCCTCTACTGAATTCTCTGCTTATTTCAGAGTAGGCATTAAATAAACTTTTGTCAACTGTTGCCTCAATTAATTAAAATATTTCTTACTATTCTCTAGTTGTGAAATCTTTCCGTCTGCTTTCTAGGTGCTAAGAACTTGCCTCCTCCTTTAAGAAAACTGAGCATTCTCAATTTGAACACCCTCATTTTTTCTCTACTGAACCTCTACTTTTCAATATTTTCTTTCAGCTCTTCTCCTCCAATGGCAACACGTCCCTTGCCCTTTCTAAGGACTGCCCTTCCAATCAGTGGTACTGCATCTCATTCTCCTTCTGTCTCCTCTGGGGTTATGTTCCATCAGTAGTCTATTCTCTTTCTGCCATCTTTAGTTTCTTCCTACCTGAGCCTTCCCTTCTGTTTACAACACACAAGATTGCTCCTACTCACATATTCAACCCCTCTCATATTACTACTACTGGCTCGTCCACAATTACAAAGAAGTTTATACTCGTGAGCTCTACATCCTCACTACCTACTTTTTCCTTCACAGCCCAGCTCCCCCACCCACCCAGATGCCAGCTGACTCTTACCCAGGCTCTGTTTTCCTGAATCTGCTCACCCAAACGTCATCAATGACCTCCTAATCCCAAAATTCATTCATCTTGCCTTAATTTTGAGGCTTGGATTACTCTGTGGTGGTTGATATTGCTGACAACTCTCCTTCCTTCTCTTTCCCCTTCGCTTTTATATCTACATCTCCATCTTATCTCACTGACGTATATGTCTTCATTGCTTTTTTAAATGTCTCTTCCTCCCCTCAACCTCTAGATAGAGGTGTTCTCTAAGGTTTTATTTCAAGGCTTATATCCTCTCTCTTAATCATCTCATCTAATTTTAGGGCTTTTTAATCACCCCATGGATGCTCCCTGATGGGTTTTTCTAGGCTTGACCTTTTTCTCAAGCTCCATTGATGGAATTTAGTATCTGCTGTACATCCATATCTGAGTATCCTGCGATGGCCTCAGATACAGTATGTCTTCTCCAGGAGGCAGAATGGGGCTGTTCTGAGTTCAAATCATGACTCTATCACTTATTAGCTGTGCTCGTTCATTATAATGAGCACTTTTTATGTGTCAGACATTAGTGATAGAGCTGTGAACAAAATAACCACCTTTTGCATTTGTGGAAACCAGAGTTTAGTGGGCACAGGTGCAGTCCTGGGGAAAAGGGAGAAAGGACCATTATCACAGGCTGTTGGGAACTCAAATGTGATAATGCACACTGAGTGCTTAGCATACTGCCTGGCATGTAGTGTATGCACAGTAAGTATTACTTTAATAGTGCTTCTCATGACATTTCTATTTTAGTTAACACCACCATTCCCTGAGTTGAAATGGATTAAAATCTTGGAGTTATCGTCCATATTTTCTCATCTCTCTCTCTTTAAATCTTCTATATACTTTTAAGTCCAAGTAAAGAAGAGTGGCTAAGACCATAAGCTCTGAGACTGACATTCTACGTTCAAATCTAGGTTGGGATATCCAGATTTGAAGCTAGGATGTATGTGATCTAGGCACTTAACTTTTCAAAGCCTGTGACCTCATCTGTGAAATAAGGATTTTCCTGGCACCTACCTCAAAGAGAGATTTTGAGGCTTACATGAGATAATGTATGCAAAGAACGTCACATGGTATGGCCAAGAAATCATATTTCCTGGACATAATTTCTTGAATCTGGCTCTTCCTATTTGCATAAACAGCACCCTAATTCAGACGCTGAGTGTTGTTTGTCTCATCACCTGCATCTGGCTCTGTGGCAGACTCTAGAGTTGCCCCTCTATAATCTGTGTTACCTGATGTTCGTGCTCTTGTATAGCCCTCTCCCCTTGAGTGTGGGAGTGCCCTGTGACTTACTTCTAACCAACAGAATATGGCAAAAGTGACAGGACATATATGATTAAGTAAGATTACAGTGCTGTTTAGCTGAAGTCTCTTACACCCTTGCCGGCTTTGAGAAAGCAAGCTGCCACCTTGTGGGATGCCAATGTAGGAATGCTCATGGAAAGAACTGAGAGAAGTCTTTAGGAGCTGAGGGTAGCCTTTGGTTGACAGCCAGCAAGAAACTGAAGTACCTGATATAAAAGTTAACTGAATTCTGCTAACAAAAGCTAATCCTAGGGCCAGCCCCGTGGCTTAGCGGTTTAAGTGCTCGCGCTCCGCTACTGGCGGCCCGGGTTTGGATCCCGGGCGCGCACCGACGCACAGCTTCTCCGGCCATGCTGAGGCCGCGTCCCACATACAGCAACTAGAAGGATGTGCAGCTATGACATACAACTATCTACTGGGGCTTTGGGGGAAAAATAAATAAATAAAAATTAAAAAAAAAAAAAGCTAATCCTTCCCTAGTTGAGCCTCAGATGAAAGCACAGCCCCAGTCAACACTCTGATTGTAGCCTTGTGAGACCCTAAGCAGAAGACCCAGCTAAGGGTGCCTGAACTCCTGACCCACAGAAACTGTGATATTATAAATGTGTGTTGTTTTAAGCTGCTGAATTTGTGGTAATATTGTTATGCAGCAATAGAAAATGAATACAGTATTCTAATTATTTTTCCTTCTTCTAGCATTCCTTTCTTCAAACTACTGCCCCACCAAGTTGAGCTCTAGAGCGTTACTCTTTCTACCCACCTCACTGCTCAAAAACCTTCATCCCCCTTATCCCAGCTGCCTGTGATACAGGGCCTGCAAACTTTGGCTGCCGCCTACCTTATCCTGTATAAAATCCTTTTCTCCAACTAGACTAGACTACTTATTTTTTGAACCTACTTTCCAGACCCAGCATCTTCTACTCATGCCATTTCCTCTAACTGAAGGCAAACTCGCACTCCTGATCTCCACTGTCAAAATCTACCTCAGCCCTCCAGGCTAATACAAATGCCACCCATTCACCTGTCTGAAATATTCTCGCTCTCCTCTCAATGCTTTTCATTTTCCTCATTTGGATCGTTATCACATAGTGTTCTGTATTATTCTGTCTGAATATACTCCCTCTTCTACTGCCCTGGGCTCTCATCCCAGGCAGCACAGAGCAAGGGTTAAGGGTACAAGAGTCTAGAGTCAGGCTGCATGATTGTGTATGTCGGTTCTGCCACTTACCAGCTGTGTAACTTTGGGCAAGTTACTTAACCTCTTTGTACCTTGGTTTTCTAATCTGTAAAATAAGAGTTCCTAATAGACTTGTTACAAAGATTAAATAAAGTGATAACTGCTCGGCACAAAGAAAGCAATTTATTTAAGTGTTTGCCAAAAGAATAGTCATTTTTGTATCCCCCCCTTTTTAAAAATCTCAACTTCTAGTCCATAATAGTACTCTCTATAGAGACAAATGGTCATTCAGTGATGAATGAAGCCTTTACATTTACATTTGTTTATGTGAGTAGAAAACAGCATTAGAAATCCCCTGATAGTGATCCTTTACCTTCATTTCCCACCAATCAAATAGTCTTTTGAGTTATGAAGATCTTAAAATGAGGAAATAAGAAAAGGAGGGGGGAGAGAGGGGAAAAGGAGAGGGAGAAGGAGAGAGAGGAAGAGAGGGAAAAAAAGACAGACAGGCAGGCTCCTGGGGAGCGGAATGCTTACAAATAATCAAATCACTAAAATTCACTGAAAAATTCTATTTGCTATTTTCATTCATTATTATCAAAGTTCCTTGCATGATCTCTTGCTGAAACAATGGAGAGTAGCTTATTTTTGGGTAGGGTCTGTGCTTGCTCTGATGTACCTTTTCACCATCAGGATACGCACGTTTGTATGCATAAAAGGCTGAGTAACTCCTTGTTGTCCTCGTGCTGATTTTGGGAAGGCACTGCAGCACTGACTTGGCAGAGTTACTCAGTCAGCAATACGTAGCCAGCTAATGACTAAGAAAGTGACATCACACCTGACCTTCACAATATAAACACTAGTAATCTCAACTAAAAAATAAAAATGTATATTCCAAATGTTATTGCAAAATACCCTCATGTTTTCCTGGGTTAGTGAATGCTGGTGGAAGAACATAATGCTCCAGAGAAAGAACAAAAATACTTTGACATCAGTGTGTGGGTTGGGATTAGAAAAAGTCATGCCCTCTGATGGGGCACCTTCTCACTGCATCCCGGAGCAAAAACAGAAAATGACTAGAATAATGGGAGCTGCTTGGAGGCTGCTGCAGTGGACAAAGCAGCAGAATTGTAGGCAGGCAGGCGAAATATGTCTCATTTTGGCAGAGTGAGAGATCTTAGTCTTTACCAGCAGACTGACTAGCTTAACACCTGATATGCAGACCAAATAAATGATCAGTTCCCTGTTCCAGCCATGGAAGCCACAGTGCTGCCTTTAATAACGTATCTAGAAATTTACAGTTCTCTTTGAAGGTGGAACAATTCTCCCTTGCCTACTCAACACCCACCCCAAAACCAGTTCATATGTGGAGCTATTTCTGCCTATTTTTTGTGTTACCTCTCTATCAGATATCTGAAGAGTTTTAAACTAAAGAAATAACCAAAGGAACTAAGTGATGCAACTGCTCTTGCCACAATTAACCATAAGTAATTTATTCTTTGCTTCCTACACAGCACATGCTTTTTGTATTGCTCCTTTATTCACTATGATAAAATTATTTAACTACTTCATGTTTAACTACTTCATGTTCATAAATGGGAGATGGGAGAAAATACACAAAAATTCTAATTTTATCTATCCAATTCTAATCATTGAGAAACCTACAGAACTTGGCCCCCTTCCCAAAAGAGTTTATAAAAGATCTAGGATTTTGGAGAAGGGAAGGGAGGGCTTACCACGGTTTGTGTGACACATCTCCCATTCTTCTACTGGGTTTACTGCACATGCTTTACTTGCCAGTCCATTACTGAGAAGTGTGAGTGAAGAACAATTTCATCTCCAGTTCCTGATGCAGGACTCTGCTTTCTTTGAACAAGATCATTAAGCTATCACCTCAAAATGAAATGGATACCCTTAAGAGTTAACTTGAATAGTTCTCTTTCTATAGAAATTTATGATCTGATTACACAGTTATAGTCTGAGTGTGGTGGTGGAGAGGTACCTAGAAAAGGATAGAGTGTCTCCCCAGGAAAGGACACCTTCACTCTTGTCTGAGGAGAAATAAACATAATGCCAACCAATCAGAGCACCAGGATGCTATAAATTTACAAGCAACCCAAGCCGTCAGCAATTTCAACTTTTGGGCATCCCATCAAAGCAACCAGGAAAAGTTACTGCTACCACCTTGACTCATTACTACTCTCACACGTTAATTACTGTTCACTAGCATAATTCCTATATAATAATCTAACATGAAATAAACTTATGTCAAGGATGGCAACATAGCATTTAAACTCTAACATGTCTGTAGTTGAATAATTTTGGAAAAGTATGGCTCCCTAGCTTGCAGTGTGCAGACCATGTTGAAGATCTTGGCCTTGGATGATTTTCTACTGTCTAGCCTTTTGTCCCCGTTTTTACATTTCACAATTTTCCTGCAGAGGACTGTCACATAAAGGCAAGTTGAAAAAAATCATCTAGGGGGCTGGCCCGGTGGTATAGTGGTTAAGTTCGTGTGCTCTGCTTCGGGGGCCCAGGGTTCACGGGTTCAGATCCTAGGCATGGACCTACACACCACTCAGCAAGCCATGCTCTGGCACCGTCCCACATACAAAAAATAGGGGAGCATTGGCACAGGTGTTAGCTCAGCGACAGTCTTCCTCGGGTAAAAAAAAAAAAAAAAAAAGGAAGATTGGCAACAGTTGTTAGCTGAGGGACAATCTTTCTCACCAAAAAAAAATCATCTATTATCTTTTGTTAATCACTATTATTTTCCGGTAAAAAGAAAACCTTTAGAATTATTAAGACAGTTAAATCATAGATATGGGTAAATTTCAAAAGCATTAGAAATTTGGAGCTAAAAGCCATTTTTAAAAATGAATTAATAAAGTTTTATTTACATAAAAATCACTGTATCTAAACCATTTACCAATATGTTGGCTAACTTATTATATACCCTAAATATGGGAAATAGATGGACAGAATGTGAGTGGGCAAGCAAATGAAAATAATAATAAAGTGTAGAAGGTACAGTGACACTGGTATAGTTTCTAATTATGATAAGAATTTAAATTGGTATAATTTCCTCTTGGAATGAAATCTGGCAATTTGTATATATACCCAAATATTCATGACCCAAAGTCTCATTTCTAAAATTTATCCTTAGGAAATCATCTAAATGGAAAAATATTTGCTGAAAGATATACTTCCACTGTACATTTATCACAAGCTTAACATAGATAAATAGAAACAATAAAGATATACTATAATGGAGGGTAGTTAAGTCAATTAAGGTACAACTGAATAGAATATAGCAGCCATTAAAATAGTAATTATAAAGTAATTTATAATTACTACTGGGTCAAACCCAAAGGTTGGTCTGGGTTTGAAGACTGGTCAGGGGGCCGGCCCGGTGGCGCAAGTGGTTAAGTGCGCGCGCTCCGCTGCGGCGGCCCGGGGTTCGCTGGTTCGGATCCCGGGCGCGCACTGACGCACTGCTTGGTAAGCCATGCTGTGGCGGCGTCCCATATAAAGTGGAGGAAGATAGGCACAGATGTTAGCCCAGGGCCGTCTTCCTCAGCAAAAAAAAAAAAGAGGAGGATTGGCGGATGTTAGCTCAGGGCTGATCTCCTCACAAAAAAAAAAAAAAAAAGAAGACTGGTCAGAATGTCTTAGATTTAACCTAGGTTACTTTCATTTTTGGTACCAAACTGGCAAACAGTACAATGGATGTATGCACAATCAAGGACACAAGTAATTGGACAAGTAGTGGTTCCCTGTGGCCCCTCTGGTTCCTCCCAGACTTGTCCCTGAAGTTATGTAGTCAATGTAGAGTGAAGAATCTGCCAGATCAGAGGAGCCCTGAACTCTGGCTTGGGGAGAGTCCACATTAGCATTCAAGGTTCAACCCCATTTCTGTGTAAGAAAAATTTTATGCTGTATTACTTTATAAGAAAATACCTCATCATCCTTTTTCCTACTGCATCATCACACCTACAGCAAGCCTGGTCATGGTCTACTTCATGAAGATTACCTGGAAACATGGAAAATGCCTTGAAGTTGGCAGTGCAGGGGATATCAAAACATTCTCGAGGATTTAAGGTTATGTGGATAAGAGTAAATGGAAACATGGAAAATTGAGGGCAAAAGGAAATCTGTTAAGATGATGATTGTTTTCATTTTCGAATTTATAGTTGTGATAGTGTCACTTTAACAAGATGGGAGAAACTTTAGTGACTCATAGATAACTAATCTTGAGTCTCTCTTTCCTTTTTTTTTTTTATTTCACCCTAAAATTTTTCCCATAGTAAAGGCAGGCATTCAAGTTATTAGCCATTCTCCTGCTTCAACTGGCACTGAAAGGGAAGCGAAATCTTGCCTTTGAAGTACATACCTTCTCTATCATGCTGTTCTTCATATTGCCCAAAGGTCCTCAAAAGCTTTGGTTTCCGTATTTATACTCCAGTCACTATTCTGCTTCCCTTCTTACGAGTCTCACCAGGCCTGCCTCTGCCCACAGCTTCGGGGTTCCCCATGAGCAAGTGGTAATGCTTTGCCCCACAACTGCCTGCCTGGCTACAACTATGTTTGACACTAAGGCTGTCCACAGCCTTGGCATAGGGTGGATGCTTTATACCAGAGAATGACTTGACAAATGGTTTATATTCTCTCTCTCAGCAAGTCAGAATATGAAATATCCGAAGAGGAAAGAGCAATATAGAAGTGGAAAGACTCAGAGAGAGAAGAGAGTAAGCAGAGGTCGTAAGAAGGGTCATGTAATTGATAGTGATGGAGGAAGCGCAGAAGAGGGAGGCCAGCAGCAAACTGCTACCAGTCTGATGAAAAGTATTCTAGATCTCCATGAAGCAGGGCTGGGTGGAAGTGGAGACTTTTTTTCCTTTGTCATTTTTTCCCCTTACTTTTCTATGTAACTTCACCATAAAACTTCCATTAACCGAGAAAATCAAGTGTCTCCCTATTCTTCTCAACATGAAGAGTTCTAACAAAATAATGGCTAAGTTTTTAGAGCACTTATCCTGATTCTGAATCTGTAAAATCCCCTAGGTTCTCAAAAGAGTGTATCACAATGACCATACAGCTCTATTCCTGCAACAGGGTTTTTTCCAAACATTGAAAATATGGTATAAAAAATTAAGATAACTTTTCCCCAAGTAGTCACTGTGGGAGGTGCTACCCTTATTCCCACTATGCTGTACTATATTGGTCATATCTTCTGAAAATCCTTTTTGAATCATATTCAGAATATGCTTCTTTGTCATTCAAGAAAACCAACCTTATTTTTTCACTTTCTACTTTGGGATCTCTTCCTCTCCTGCCCTCTTCCTTTTGTTCTTGCCATCATGGGCCAGTCATATGAGGAACTCTGTGAAGTACTGGGTGAAAAGGAGAGACCGAACCAAATGGAGTAGAGGTGGGGAAACAGTGTAACTGAAATAATAGCAACAAACACAGAATGGTAAGTTCATTTGTGTGTTATGCCTCTAGCGCCATAAGAAATAAGATGGATGTTGCTAAATGGGGTTGTGCTGCAGGCACACTGCTCCAGTCACTGGTATACAAGTTGATAGCCACTTGCTGTGATACTTAAATGATGCCCAGTACCTGGCACAATGTATACATTTGTCAAATAAGTGAGTAAATAAATGAATGAAGAAAAGGCTTAATGAATTCAATAGAGTCTATTTTGCTGTTTACTACTAATTTATTAATAACTTAATAACAATTTAATAATTAAAAACAATTTTTTGAAATAAAAATACTACAGTAGATGAAATTAATAATGCAATTTATAATGGGACCCAAATTATTTCTTTGGAACAGGGTTATGAGTGGCCCTCATGTGACTGTGCTGTGACAAGGATCTCCTGATGGTGAGTTATACCATCCCTCCCTCTCAAGTTCCAATTCAGAGACCTGAGGGTTTTCCACACTTACGGGTTCACTCTGCTGCCTGACTTCTTTCATTCCCGTGCATTACTTGGGGACCTTTCTCCAGTGAGGACACAGCATCTTTATCTTCCCTCTTCCTTCCCAGGCTTCATAGGCCAGTTCTTAACACATTTTACCCATAATCAATGCTCAATAAATGTTTGTTAAATAAAACGATAAAAATGCTTTTATCAATTCCCATTAAGATCTGACACCAATTTCTCCACTGTATTGTAAGCATTAGAGAAGACAGATATATTTGTCATCGAAATTTTTTTTTTTTATGAGGAAGATCAGCCCTGAGCCAACATCCTATGCCAATCCTCCTCTTTTTGCTGAGGAAGACCGGCCCTGGGCTAACATCCATGCCTATCTTCCTCCACTTTATATGGGACGCCACCACAGCATGGCTTGACAAGCAGTGCGTCGGTGCACGTCCGGAATCCGAACCTGCAAACCCCGGGCCGCCGCAGCGGAGCACGCGAGCTTAACTGCTGTGCCACCGGGCTGGCCCCTTCGAAATTTTTTAAATTCTAAGAAATTTATCTCTACTTGATTTAAAAAGTTATTGCCTGTGGCGGTATAGGAAACACATGTTTCCTTACCAGAAGTATTGTGAAATCCATCTGTATCATCTCAAGCTTTAAGAATTTCAAGCCACATCAGAACTCTGATTTAATTTTCTTTCCACCACCAGAGTGCCTGCACAGTAGCCCTCGTTCATGTTTATTTGCAGGTGCATGGGAATGAATGTAGCTGATTTATCGCTGTAGGCTATCTTGATAGCAAACAATAGTATAATTTGTTTCTTGGATTCTTTTCAATCCATTCTACAGCTGCCTTCCATCAAGTGTGAGTTCTATGGCTTCTTTATGAAAGCTGTGCTTCCAACAGAGATGTCCTTGAGTAGCTGTAAATCTTCATGTGATGAAATTGACTAACATTTGTATAAAGTTTTACCACATACAAGACACCTTAATATACATAACCCAGGCTTGTTTCCTTCTGCTTCAACAGAATCATCCTACTAGTTCATATGTATATGCAAACCTCCTTTTCTTGAGGTTTCTTACTTTTTATGGAATTGAAATAGAAAAAGCACTGATATGAAAACTCTGCTTGAAATCTCCCCTAAGTCAGTGTTCTTCCTGTCAGTAGTAAAGTCACTAAAATTCTATCCAAAATGAGTAGAGTAAAACTCTTCCCAAAGAGCATTAGGAATTAAAACGAGCAGCATCTTGGCAGATCTTGGCCTCTGTGTCTTGTACATTCTCTTTTTGACTCAGTATTCATTTTGCCCCAAAGCACTAAACAAGAATTAGAACAGAAAGGATGCTTATATGAGCTACAGGTTAAAATATCACGTAACAATCTCAATAACTAGGGCAGATAACTCATTTGAGGGCAGTGATGTCAACACTACGGATGTATTACAAAGAGAATAGTCATTCTGATGCAAAAAGATGGCAATGTTAAGCAGTCTTTAAAGGGTCTACATTCTAAAACAGGGAGCTACATATTGAGTTCATCGGATACAGTCATGTCAAGTAAGGAATTAAAAAAATAATAAAAAAAACTTTCCTCAGAAGTTGCTTAGAGGATGAAAATACATATGGAATGTCTTAGCAATTACTTAAAAAAGAAATTGTGTCATTAGTTATTGACATAAGAATTTTGTAAATAATGAGAAGGTGGAAAGTCATCATAAAAATGTAAACTGTAAGGCAGTGTCACATTATTTTATCTCAAATTTCTGCTGAAGTGAAAATGTAATAGCTTCACAAATTAAGCATTTTCACTACACATTGCCTTTTTCCTCACTTCCTGATTTGTATGGAAACTCCTGAAACCCCTTACTGATTATCAGCAATGAAACAAAACTATAAAACAAGATGTGTCTCAATGCTTCTAAATCAAAGATGATTTTTCTCCCATTTGGGTGAATGTGTAACAAGTCCATTAAAATCTACCCTATCCTTCCTTCTAATCTGTTCCTGGTACTGAGCAAAGCAAATCGTGTCACACCTACCATCACGCTCATCCTCCTAAAAACAGCCCTGGCTTCACAATGTGGGGAGGCCCCTGCACGGGTCGGTCTGCCTCTTTCTCCAGCCTTACCTAGCACCTCCTCCACCTCACCCACTACCATCACCCTGTGCCTCAGAGGCCAGCACAGTGGCAGGCACACAGCTGGGGCTCAGTAAATATTTGTTAAATGAATGAATCATTTTTACCATTTGATGATGTAACAATAAAACACTGCCTCACAATTTTGAAATTCCATTATTTCCAAAGCAATTTTATGTAAGGAGAGAATGAATTAGTAATGTAATGTGTCCTTTATTCTTTTTATGAATTTTTATATATTTTGATAGTTTATGGCAGGTATTTAAAGTTAACATATATTTTAACTCCAAGTAATTACTGCTTTGATTAATTAATTTATTATTTCAACAAGTAAATGTCTGTTGTGTTCTGGGCATGAGAATAAGCATTAGACTATGTGAATTTAAATATTCATTCATTCTATTGTTCAACAATCATTACTATAAGCTAAGTGTCAATTAAAATTGTTAGATACACAGCCCAAAGAAATTGGCAGCTGAGATGGGAGTTTTTATTTCCCAGTACACACACACACACCCTGCCAAGAGATATTAGTGGAAATCTGTGGTTTTTTCCTTTAGAAAGAGAAAAGGTTCTGGTAGCAATGGACAAAGGTGGATGGGTGGGCTTGTGTAGGACCCTGACATATCCTGAAGAAGGGGACTTGGCACAGTTGCCTGTATGTGTAGAGTTGTCTAGGAGATCAGCTCTAATGCCTGGTAATGAGGAATATTCTGAGCCAGTGAATAAGCAATGGGCAATCTTAGATTATGGATGTCTCATGAACATATGAACTGGGAATTACTCCACGTCTGGGCTCTATCTTGGATCCTAGATGAACTTGATCTCTGTGTGGTTATGGTAACCAAGGTCATGAAACCATGCTTAGAAATAAGGCCAAGGTCTTAGGAGATAAAGAATCTTGGAGGGAAAGCACATACTCTTCATTTAAGAAAGGCTTGCTATGCTTTTATTATGAAGTAAAGGGTAGTCTCCTATTGAGAAAACCTTGTGTTTACCTTGGGTAGAAGTTTGCCCAGAAGGGTCCCTGAGGCTGGTAATATGACTCCAAGTTCTATCCCATAAGGATAAGGGGGTCCTAAAGCATCTGAAATGCACATTCTAAGCAGATACTGGCATACACAGAACACAGAATTCAAAGATAGGTCCTCAAGGATGATTAGATCAGTCTGGCTGCTTTAATCACAACAGAGAAAACTCAGAGTCACAAAATTTTAGGAGTTGGGGAAACTTGAGACAGAGAATATTAAATCTGGGCTCAGCCTTGGTGAGTGAATCATTCTTGGTACTTTCTGTACCCTATGCGGAGGGTGGGAGATAGCTCAAGGGGTTAAATACTTTATCTAAATCCTCTCTCCTATAACAGGGACAAAGACTATTTTTCCTGGAAGAAAGTGCTGATCAAATTTGAGATTTCAGTAAATGGCCTACTTTGAGCTCTTTTTTTGTCTCACTTGCCTTTGTTCTTGGCATAGTGCCTGTAATAGCTTGAACAATTTTATATGAGTCAAATCATAGTCACAATTAAGTTTTCTGTAAATGTTTTCTTCTTTAAAAAAATTAAAATTGAGGTCCTGTAATGTAGTAAAACAATGTAATCAACCTAGATGTTAAGGTAAACCTCTGATCCATGTATCAGGAGTGACTCATCTGGTTGAAAGCTGCAGAGGAAATGGAGATGGATTTGGGTATATGGCCAGTTTTGTACAGAGATTAACAGCACAAGCTTTGTAGTGGAACAGACTCAGGTTTGAATTCTGGTTCAACTGCTTACTTGCTTCCACCAATGACCTTAAGCAAGTTATTTAACCTACCTGAGGCTTGCTGTCTTCATTTAAAAATGCTGAGCATGAAATTATTATTACAAAAACAACAGTAATTATTGTTGCTATTAATAAAATGCATGTATTCTGCAGGCCTGGGTCCTAAAGACAAAGAGGAATATTTTTTTCTTCTACAAAGTTCTATATTCAATATTCCCTTATGGATATGATTTGTTTCCTAAAGGAGAAGGAAATAACATCATCTGGGTTCCTAGGACATTGTTTTTTCCTTCAGCTCATTTTACTTATTTATCCCAGTCACAATCTTTTTGTTAATCTTTTTATAACATATTGATATACTTGGCTTCCTCTTTAGTCCTTATTGAGACAAGTTTTCTCTTCATGCAATCATGAATAACTTATTGTTATTTCTATTCAGCAATGTAGGCATTGTCTTTTAAAACATTATGATAAATTTTAGGATGAAAATGAATAAATAGCAAGGGTAAGAGACAAGAGAAGGTGGCCTGTGAATAAATAAATGAATCTTGATGCAAGGTGAATGCAAACACTTGGGAGCCTTAGCTTATTAATTCCTCACGGTCTAAAAATCAACAGGGCAAATGCACCAAGTTTATTGATGATAAAGTGCTATTTGCTAGACATGAATCCATCTAGTGAGGAGGGGTATCATCACTTACTAAATGCACAATACAAGTTTTATTGGTACTAAGATAATACACATGATACTATTAATTCCATCATAGAAATTGGACCCAAGTATGAGAATGTATCCTAAGAACAATTACATAGTAATAAAAATAATATTCTACTACACATACTTGCTGGAATATATATACAAAAAGTATTCCACTTCTAGGAGACTTACGCACATTCAAATATACTAATCATGACTTTCTACATGTGCAAAAGAATTAGGAACCATCTATAACTTTCCTAAAAATACTTGAGCGTGCCTGTTTAGGTCTGTGGTGATATAATACTGCTTATATTTTTGATAAGCACAGTTAACAGAACGCTGATACCTCTACTGGAAGGTGGCTCAACACTCAAAGCTGCCTGCAACTTAAATTTCCAAACTCCAACCACTCATCCACACGTATCCTATCATCATGAAATATTTTGGTGTACTTTCTTAAGTTATTTTCTCATACACATTTAAAAATCTAGTTTTTGTGTCTGTGTGCAAATAAAATTAGGTTCATGCTATAGTTGTTTTACAGCCTGTTGTAATTTATTAAAATTTATCATGTATACAAATAATTTAGAAAATATTTATGTACACTTTAAAGATCAATAAGATAATTCCTGATATACTCACCAACCAGGTTAAGAACAACATCATTATCAGACTTCAGAAGCTGTCTGTGGGCTACTTTCTGACTGTCTCCCCTTCCTTGGCCCCACAGATAATCACCATCATCAATTCTGTGTTAATTATGCCCTTGTCTTTCTGCATTATGATACTATTTATACATGCATTCCTGAAAAATAAATAGTTTGGTTGTGCCTGATTGTGAATTTAATATAATGGAATACTGTATGCTTTCTTTTATGACTCGCTTCATTCTTTAATATTATGCTTTTGAGATTCATCTGTGTTGATGCCTTTAGCTATAGTTTATTTTCAGAGCTCTATGGTATATACTTGTATGAATATACCAGTTTATCCATTCGTCTGTTATTTCCACTTTTTAAAAATTACATATAATGCTGCTATGAACATATTTTCAACATGTCTCCCGGTGCGTGTATGTAAGAGTTTCTCTATTAAATACAGGGAAGTGGAATTTTTGGATCATAGGTATGTACAGTCAAGTTCATAGATAACCAACTGTGCCCTAAGGAGTTGTACCAATTTAGATTCTCACCAGCAGTGGACGTGAGAGGACTTTGCACTGCAACCTAGCCAGTTTTGTTTTTTTTTTTTTAAATATCTGCTAATCTGGTAGATAAAGATGGTACTCCATTATAGTTTTAATTTGCATTTTCTTGATTAAGAGTGTGAGCCCCTTTTTCATATGTTTATTGGCCATTTGAGTATCTGCATGGATAATGTGAGCCACATATAATTAAAAATTTTCTAGTGGCCACATTAAAAAAGTGAAAGGAAACGAAATCATTTTAGTAATAAATTTTATTTAACCCAATATATCTAAAATATTTTCAACATGTATTCAATATAAACATTATTCAGATATTGTACATTCTTTTTTTTTTTTTTGGTACTAAGTCTTTGAAATCTGGTGTGTATTTTACATTTACAGTACATCTCAGTTGAGACAAGCCACATTTCAAGTGCTCAAAGCCACAGTGGCTTGTGGCTACTCTATTGGGCAGCACAATGTAGATACTAAGCCTTTGCCAGGTATATATATTGTAAATATTTTCCATCAGTGTGGGGGCTTCTTTTTTCACTTTAAGGTATCTTTTCATGAATCAAAATTCTGAAATTTAAGTTGTCAAATATATGTATAATTTCTTTTATGGTCTGCATTTTCTATGACTGTTTTAAAAAAAAATCCTTCACTTTCCCTGGGTCATAAAGATATACAACTATATTGTCTATTAAAAGTTTTACAGTTAGCAAATAACATGGTTATATATGTAGAAAATCCAAAGGAACCAACACAAAAAAAGTTACTGAAATAAGTGAATTTAGCAAGGTTGCCTTTTTCGAGATCAATACGTGAAAATCTGTTGTATTTCTACATACTAAAACAAACCATCGGAAATTAAGAAAAATTCCATAAACAACAGCAAGAAAAATATAAAATATTTAGGAATAAATCTGACAGAAGATGTGCAAGATCTGTACACTAAAAACTACAAAACACTGTGGAGAAATACTAAACGAAATAATGCAGAGATATACCTTGTTAATGGGTTTATTATTAAAGATATTTTTTCCAAAATTGATCTA